ATTATTCTCTTAATAATGATTAAAATCAAGCTATATTTAAAAAGGAATTTAAAAGGGAAACCCTGTGATGCTGCACAGGACTAGCGATTAAACAAAGTATTGGCTCTAGGACGTCCTCCGGCCGTGGTTTATTCCATATGACAATCCTCCACGTTCCAGCGTCTCTTCCTGCAATTGGTTGTCATGAAAAGCTCAGTCCGCTCATAAGCGACCGTCAAACCTACTTTCTTCAGGTAAGATTTTAGGCAATGCTTATGGGATCGACTGGATGTTTATATTCTATCTACTTACTGATCGATCTAAATCCTTAAAAGCCGTACACGATGATGGGAGTGAGCATAACGCACTGCGAAGGCCTGTCATGGATGGTTGTCTGCTATGCCAGTGAAGGCCTTCAGAAGGAATTTCTTTTTGTTTAATGCGTTTTAGTTGATGCGATGCAAAGACCATTTTATGCGAAGAATGAGTTACGCGCGGCTTTTTTAATCACTTTACAGGAAACAGCAATTACGTCAGGAAGAGAATCGGAAACGGCATTACCAAGTCGCAGTACGTGATTAATGAATAACTGTAAGTAACATCCAAACAAGCATCCATATGGTACAAGAAAGGAAGTGAATGAAACGAGGGTGGGGCGTAGGGTTGTCCAGTTATGGGTCCATGTAATGACCTGAGTAGGTCGCTCAATTGCGTGCAGGTGCTGACTACGCCCAGCGTCCATCAACTGGCACCCAGTTCTCACCTGTGGCCCATCGAAGCTAGGTAGTCAAACCCCGGTAACCGCCTGGACCGGGGGGTAAGGTAAACCAGGTGAGGTTATCCGTGTGTACATCTCCACACGCGCGAAATCTTCTCCCCATCTGACCCCCCCCGTACCCTTTTATCTACTCCCCTTATCCTCTCTCTTTCCCCTCTATCCTATACCCACCCCTCGTCCCCCCTTCTCCTCCTCACTTTTGCCCCACCCTACCCCCACCCCTCCTCCGCTCCCCTTCTCTCCTCGGTTTATCCTCCTCCTTCCTATCCCACTTTCTTCTCCATCCCTCCGTTCACACCTCCTTCGCCCTTATCCGCCATCTCTAACCCCTTCTCTACTATTCTTCTCCACAGTCAGAAGCCCCTTCGACGAGGCCGACATGCAGTTGGGTAGGCGCCCCAGGCCAATGGGCCGTTCTCTCATAGAACATAGTGACCCGTATTGGAGAGCGACAGCTGTCTGGTGCGACTTAGCAGTCCTACTTAAAACGAGCACTGCTTACCCCCACGAGGGAGAGAGAGCTACAAAAGGTGCCCCAAACAAACGACATCTGCGCTCTGACCGTTGCTCGCAGACTGCTACACATGCGGTCGAAACCAACAAACAAGAAACAATACTCTCTCCCTCCTCCCTCCGCCCAACCCCATCCCACAGTCTGCCAAAGTTAGTCCACTTACTCTGGCAGCCTAAAATGTTTGATCTCTCTTAGACAATTGCAGAGGCAACCGGCCGGAGTGCAGAACGACGCCAATCCCTCGGGAAATGGCGCGCCACAAGGTGGACATCGCTGCACTCAGCGAGACCCGCTTCTCCAAACAAGGTCAACTGGAGGGGGTGGGAGCTGGCTGCACCTTCTTCTGGAACGGCTGCCCCAGGGCCGATCAACAGGACGCGGACGTCGCCCTTACCATTCGGAAAGACATCGCGGAACCACTGCCCTGTCTGCCGCAGGGCATCAACGATCGCCTGATGAGCTTGTGTCTGTCCCTTCGGAGATTCAACTTCGTCACCATTGTCACCGCCCACGCCTCAAAAACAACGGACTCGGACGAGGCAAAGGCAAAGTTCTACGAAGTTCTGCATGCCGTCCTGGCGCCTGTGTCGAGTGCGAATAGGTTGATTGTCATTGGTGACTTCAATGTCCGCATCGGGACAAACTGCGCTGCCTGGAGGGGAGTGCTGGGTCCTCAAGGAATCGTCGGCTGCAGCGATTACGGCCCCTTGTCGTGCGAACCTTCACTGAACACCGCCTCCTGCCGACCAACATCTTTTATTCGCATGCAGTTGCGGATGAAACCCGCCTGGATGCACCCCCCGATCGCGGTGCTGGCAGTTGCTAAACTATGTTCTCGTCTGGCAGCGGGATCAGCAGGAAGTGATAGTGACCAAGGCGATCTGTGACGTCGATAGCAAGACGGACGAACTCTGCGTTATCTCCGAGATGAGGCTTCGTCTGCAACCCTGCAGGAGGCTACAAGTTAAGCTACCCCCATGTAGGCTGAATACTGCTTTGTTGTGTTTGTCTGCTCGATGGTACCAAATACGGGACACCATTCATTCGACCTCACTGGGTGTCCTCGGATGCGCGGATCGCCAGCACCAGGACTGGTTCGACGACAACTACACGGTCATCAGTAACCTGCCTGTCGAGAAGTACAAGCTGCACAGGGCCTACCCCAACCGTCCAAGCGATGTGACCGAAGCAGCCTTCTACCAAAGTCGTCGCTTTGTGCAGCAGCGAATGCGAGGAATTCAGGATTACGGGATGGTTTGCTTGGCCGGGGAGTTTGTAGCGGCTTAAAGGTGGGAATGAGTGCTCTGAGCGCTATAACCACCAGGTCGAATCCCAAGTCGTAAGGAGATGACAAAAGGCACCAGAATGAGGAGTTTATTGTGCGCAGAACCCAGATTTGCCCTCTCAGGCGACAGTGGCCACTGGCGAAGCCAGGGCTGGTGTTGACTGCGTCCAGTCATGCCTGAGAGTCCATGAGTTAGTGGTGGCAGCCACTCTTGTAGCCTCGGGGGTCACGCTCAAGTGGTCTCCAGTCGGTGGTGTCCCAATGGTTTGTTTTGCTGGTTGCAGGGGATGGCGCATTCAAGTGGCCGCATGGGCAGCTGCGACTGCGCGGACGCAGGTACGCCTGGGCTGTTGGTCGTGTGACTTCAGGTCAGCTCGTCTGGGACGGCTCGCTGCAAGGGGTGAATGACCTTGAGGCAGCGAGGTCTTGAACAATGACGCCAGACCAGTCATAATGGCAGGCCACTAGAAGTTCCAGGGATACGCTGACCGCCACAACTCAAAGAATTTCTTTACTGCGATAAAGACTATATACGGCCACCCAAGCAAAGGAACTGCGCAGATTCTTAGTTTACATGGATAAACGCTTCTGACGGAGAGTTCACAGATTCTGAAGCGCTAGGCAGAGCACCTCCGATACCGCCATCGACCGGCTCCCCCAAGTGAAAATTAACGTCAACCTGGATCTCCCGCCCTCATTCCCCGAACCCATCCATGCTGTACAGTAACTCCTCGGTGGAAAAGCACCAGGCTCCGAGGTAATCCCAGCCGAAATCTACAAGCACGGCGGCCACCAACTGATGGACAAACTCGCCACGCTATTTCAGGATATGTGACGCTGTGGATAAGTTCCTGAGGATTTCAAGGACGCAACCATTGCTCACCTCGACAAGCTCCAAGGGAGCCGGCAAGTCGGTGGCAAACACAGAGGTGTCTCCCTACTCAGCATCACTGAGAAGATCTTTGCCCGCATCCTCAACGGGCGCCATGAAAAAGGACTTCTGTCGGAAAGCCAACAGAGCTTCCAACGACAACGAGCACCACCGATATGGCTGGTGTTTGCCGCTCGCCAACTACCTGAAAGGTGCCAGGAAATGTAAACCAATCTCCACGCTACCTTCGTGGACTTGACGAAAGCCTTCTCCACGGCAAATCTCGAGGGACTGTGGAAAATCATGCGGATATCCAGCCGTCCTGAACGATCCACGCACATGGTAAGTTAGCTACAGCACGGGATGTTGGCGCGTGTTACGGACGACGGCGAAATCTCCAAGGCATCCATAGTGGTCAATGGAGTGAAGCAGGGCTGCGTCCTTGCGCCTATCCATTTCTGTCTTGCGTTCACTGCCATGCTGATGAACGCCTACCGTATTGAACTTCCCGAGATACGCATCACCCACAGGACTGACGGCCATCTTCTCAACAGCAGAAACATGCAGGCACCTACGCGACTATATACGATTAGCATCCACGACCCGCTCTTCGATTACGACTGCGCGCTCAACAGCGCGACCAAAGTGGACATGTAACGAAGCATGGACCTCCTCGCCGCCGGGTGCGTCAACTTCGGCCTGACTATCAAAATGGCCAAAACGGTGGTTATGCGCCAACCATCACCCAACACGCAAAGCTGCACTCCTCGGATCGCTGTCGAAGTACGGAAGCACACTTTCCGACACTATAAGAATCGTCGGCGGAGTGGCCCATTGGATCTCCAAGGCCAGCCAAGTCTTCGGCCGGCTACAGAACTCTGTGTGGGATCGTCACGGTTTCTAACTGAATATCAGACTGAAGATATACAAGGCCGTCGTCCTGACAACGCTCTTATAAGGAGACCTGGGCCGTTTACCCCAACCATGCCAAAAATTCCAACCACCTTCACCTCACATGCCTTCGCAGAATACTAACACCGAGGTGGCAAGACAGGATCCCCGATATGGAAGTCCTGGAACGGACTGGAGTCCTCAGAATTCACGCCAACTGCAGCTACTTTTGAGTGGCCAGCCCATGAGAATGAAAAGCACATGTCTGCTGAAACAACTCTTCTATCGTGATGTCGCCACGGGCATTCGTCAACAAGAAGGACAAAAACGGATCTACAAGGACACTTTGAAGGACTTTCTGAAACGACTGTAGATCAATCCGATGACTTTGAATGATCTTGACCAGAATTCACCAGCATGGCAAAGAGAAGTGAAGACCGACACCACCATCTACGTAGCAAATTGGATCGTTGCTTTCAAAGCCAGAAGAGAGGCTCGGAAGTCACAATTACCTCATCTCCTCAATATCAACCACCAATCGTCTCCAACATGCCCGCGCAGCCAACGCGCATTCTGCGCGCGAATCGGCCCTGTGTGACACCTTCCGACCCAATGTGTCAACATTCCGATAAGGTATACTTCTCCCATTTTCTCTCCCCACGCAAACCCCGTATCCACCGCCACCTCCGTCACCGCCGATCACACGGGCGCTGTCCCGCCGCCATCAACCACCTACACCATCCGTCCTGCTCTAACCACTGAGTCAACAGCAGCGACCACCACCACAACAACAACAGCATCCCCACCGACTGGGCGACGTCCGACGTCCGATCGCCTTCTAAGATCAGTACAATTACTCCCACCTCCAAGGACTGGCTTATACCTTTCCTCATTGCGACCGGCCTGGTCGGTCACTTGCGATTGCATCTCGCAGATACTGGCGAGCCAGTACCTGGAGCATCAACCTACACTAGCCGCCTCCGCCCCAACTGCCCTCACTGCCCAGCATATTCAGCCACTGCATGGGCCTATTAGGTTATATGCGCATTCATGCAAACCTGCGGTAGACAGCAACCGGCTGTACCACACCCTCACACCTTTCCCCACCAGTACTTGCACTACAAAACATTACCCATCACCGTGCAACACAAAGACTCGATTTCCATCTCCCACGCAAGTGGGATGTGTGCTCCTCGGCTCTTTCTTCATGCAGTTTTCCTGCCACACGTGTGATCCGAGTAGGAGAGTATCACAGTGCGCCAAGCGCTGCGGCTTAAGAGGCTGCTGACTGACGCCCCAACTCAGACCTCGCAGTCAGCCGATTTGTGTGTGTTTGTATGAAGTGGTGGGATGGTGAGCTGAGAGTTAGGCTGTCACGGCTCCTTCTTAAGGTGACCTCTGGCTCTCTCACATGTGTGGAGTGTGTGCGTACATGGGTAGTGGCTCTCAGTCGATGACTGACTGGTTGTCCTGTCTCTGAAGGACGTTGGCCCAGGTTCAGTATAGGGCTGTGTTCCACCTTTCTGGCCTTAAGGATTGCGTGCGTCAGCTATGCCATTATTCAGCAAACCGTGGATCTCGAAGCCTAGTAAGCGCTGGCTGTTCCCTGGTACCTGCTCCCCGCCGATAGATGCGCTTGCGTTCCAACTGAATATATGGGCCGTGAGCATGGCTACGCAATAATTCTCGTCCTTCTGACCTGCTGTTGGTGACAGTCCTGTTCAAGTGTTTGTTGTGGACCAGGGGATGTGGTGACAAGCCTGGATGCTGGTTCGGTCGTGTCAGTCATCTGCGCCCTTTCTTACCCCCAACACCAACACCTCCAGCGATATGGACTCGGCCCATACTTGTCCTTATGACGACCGCACATCCCCCTCGCACATCGTCATGGTCGGTCACTTGCGAGTCCATCGTACACAGACTGGCGAACCAGTGCCTAGAGCCCCAGCATACACTCGTCACATCCGCCTCAACTGCCCTCACTGGCCACGCATATTCAGTCCCCTCATGGGCCTACTAGGTGGCATGCGCACTCATGAAATCCTGCTGTAGACAACCGCCGGTCACACCACACCATCACACATCCCCCTACCTGCACATGCACCACACAACAGCATCACCGATCGCTGTGCAAATCAAAGCACTCCATTGCCACCTCCCACGCAAGTGGGATGTGTGCTTCTCGGCTCCTTCTTCATGCAGTTTTTCTGCCACATATGGGATTCGAGTCTGAGACTATAACGGTGCGTCAAGTGCCTTTGCTGGGAAGGCCGCAAACTGACGCCTCAACTCAGACCCCGCAGTTAGCCCACTTGTGTGCGTTTGTGTGGAGTGGCAGACTGGTGGACTCAGACAGGCCGCCACGGTCCCTTTCTAACGTGAACTCTGGCTCTCTCACATGTGTGAAGTGTGTGTGTACATGAGTAGTGGCTCTCAGTTGTTGACTGACTAGTTACACTGTTTCGGAAGGGAGATAGCCCAGGCCAAATGCAGAGCTGCGTGTCACCTTTCTGGGCGTCTGCTATGCCCTGTGTTTCACGATGACGTCGCCATCAGCAACCTGCCCGTTGAGAAGAACCACCTGCACAAATTCTACGTTGACCGCCTCACCGGCGACCACAAAATTGCTTTCCACCGTAGTCGTCGCCAATAGAAGCGAAGAGACGAGTACCAGGAAGCAGTCTTGAAGAAGGAGATACGATCGTAGGGATCGTCGCCTTGTGCAGCAGCGGCTCCGCGAAATGCGGAACACCTGGACTACTCGAAAGACTGAGGAAATTCAAGGGTAAGCGGGCCGCAACGAATGGAAGGACTTCTTCTCCGCGATCAAAGCTGTCTAC